TTGTTTTGATTAGTTGAATGTCTCTTGATTGATCAGTGCTGTCGAAGTTTTAGTAAAGAAAGTTAATGCGAAATATTAGCTTCGGGTCATTACTAAAGTACACTGCATTAGCATAATCTATGATTTCCTACGTAATTGTGATACTATGATGCCTTATTATCTAAATAAAGAATTAAACAAAAAAAATAGTTAAATGTGTTACTTCCATTGCAAGATGGAATAAAAAAACCTCCAGATGGATAAATGGCATTTTTCTGTAAATCAAATAAACCTTGTGTTCATTTGATACAACTATTGTTTCATCTATGGAACACCTACATATTCCATGGTGTTGTGAGACGTTTACCCCAGCTGGACTCATTTTTTTTTTCACTCACTGAGAGACGGGGGTGAAATCTTGATAACAGAATCCCCTAAACTCTATTTAAATATATGCAGATTCACCATGATAATCTGTTAATGTCACCAAATAATGGTGTCATTACGCTTTTCCAGTTTTGATGGGTTTTCTGCTTTTTTACCTGGACTAAAAGGTCATGTAGTCTATATATTTTTTACAATAATAAAGAAATGTATTTTTCCCATTGCAATTCATTTTATTTCAATAAATGCTACAAATGCAATTAAACTTTTATGATGGAACCTGCTTCCCTTATTTAAGTCACAGAAAACAAGCTTTAAATGGAAGGATCAGAAACCCGCTGGAAGTTTGTTGAATGGCAAGAGACAGATTGTTATTTAGCTCACCTGGCTCCAGTCCAGTTTGTGGATAATACAGGAAATATCCCAGCCACAGAGTGCAGTTCTCTTATTAAATATTTATTTATAGCCTATAGCAGTCAGAAATAGCCAACTTTTATCCGCTTGGGTGCAACTAAGAGTTGACTGGTTGTACTGAGTTTCTGCTTCTATTTTTTTGGCACAACACAGAGAGGTGAATCATTTATTATTTTTCAACTATCGTTCTCATCATAATGTCTCCATTACCATTGCGTACCAGTGATGCTTGTGATCGTACCACACCATAAAATTCAGACCCACTGAATTATAATTTTTACCATTACCTCTGGACATATGTCCACAGTCCTAAGATCCCATTAACACCCCTGAAACTATTGATAAAGCCCTGGAGCCCCAACAACATTTTTTCCAAACTTTTGTGAACCCCACCAACTTTAGAGAGACACAAGGAACCCCAGAATCCCATTAACAGCTATGGAATCCCACCAACAAACTTGGACCTCACCAACATCTCTGGAACCCCTTTAACTACATCACATATTCAGAGCAAAGATACATCAATTCACCAGTAAACTCATTGACCCAGGTGGTTATGTGCAATGCAACTCTTATCAGTCAGGGTTTACATGACTGAGAAGATTGGTAGTTACAGACCTTATCATCATGACTGCACATTTCCCTAACGCGAATCCTAAACATTAATTCTAAAACACCCCTATCTCTAATCCTAACCCTGTAACTAATCTCAATCCTATACATATCTTAACTCTACTCCTCTCCGAATCCCCTACCCATTCCATGAACACTAATTACTATTACCAACCCTAACTACTCTCAACACTAAGCATCTCTAAACATAACCCTCACCTAGCCATTAGCCCTCTCCTTATCCTAACCCCAAAGACCTACATTTCCTAAATGTAACCCTCCCCTCACGTTAACCCTCACTTAATAGTAATTCCAAATAAGAGCTCTTTCACTAAATACTATTACCATCCCCAACTACTCCTAACATTAAGCATCTCCTAACCCTAAACCTTGAGAGTATTAATTGTAACACGAGAAACAGCTCGGGAACATTAAGAAAACTCTGTAATGACATTGTAAATTCCACATTCCATATCCCTCTCACTGCATATCGGGTGAACCTTCACTACTCATTTCCTGCCACTTCCTGTGCCAGAAATCTACTATTCTACTATCTGTTAATTAAAAGTGGACCTTGTTTTCACCACTTCCAGTCAGGGTACAAATTATGTCTCTTTAAATATAGGAACATGTCAAATCTGACATAATTTTTTTATGGTGCAGGCATTTATTAAATATGACATAAAATGAATAAAAAAAATAATTACAAACTGTAGTTCAAAATACCTATACTGGGGCTGTGGGCAAAAATGTGACTCAATTTGTGCATCAAAGCTGTGACCGGAGCAGCTACTGATATGCCTGCAGAACTTTGGAGCCCTGCTGGGAGATGGTGCATCTGGAGCTTGAGGCGTACTCGAACGAGGGTTGAGGTGGATGGCCGCCACCTTGCCTACCTTCAGATTGCCACAAGACAGCTCCCTGAAGTATTGTCTCCTCAGTCCATTTTCCACCTACTTTGAACCGACAGGGATAATCCTGGTCCCCACTGGCCCTATGCACATACCTCTGCTCGTCCCTATAACTCGCCGCAGTTCGTGCTTTGCAGAGAATGACAAGCTGGAGGACAAGCTTCTATCATCGGTATGCACATCCATTCAGCCCTACAGAGACCACCATCATGCTGTGTTGGAGCACTCACTCAAATATCTAGAAAAATCTTCCAACGTTTCTGGGCAAAGCTGGAGAGGTGACTGGAACAGACACCGAAACACACGGAGAGAGAAGTGAGGGGAGCCGGGGCCGAAGGGCGGAAACGGCCTCTCTTGGGCAAAGCTTATACTCCTGCTTTGGCTATCCGCACTGATTGCCTACCTTGGCCGAGGGTCCTGAGGAGAATGCCTCGGATGCATCAACCACACCGCTGGAAGACCGCCCGGTGCAGGCGGTTGAACAATTGGGTCTCCTGCGTGCCCGACAAAAGAAAGACTCGATCTCATGGAACCTTCGAGTCTGTGCCTCACGGATGCTAAACTCCACACAGGCCTGGGGCTGGAGGAGAACCTCAACCCACCCACATCGACCAGCTGCCTCATGCAGCCTCCATGCTTTTGTGGTTCCTCTACCGAGAATAGGCAATGGCTGACTATGGACATGTTTCTGATTTTGCCACTATTAGCTTCAAGTGCGACCATACCAGGGAAATTCTGTGTTTGATATATCCTTTATGCTTATGTGACATGCTTTTGAAGGAATGCAGAGTCCCAACACTTTGCCAAGCTCCAGTGGTATGCTCAACGTGTTGATTATAGAATTATTTTTACACCAGCTTATTATGACCTAGCATGTTGTGCAGCATAACTACAAGTAGCATTATCCATCCTACCTAATTTATTTTATTTACTGATTCTGCTTCGTTCTCACTTGAGACATGCTAATAGCCTGTACTACTTCTATTTCTTTCCTTATAAAAAAAAACAGTGCAGTTAACTCTAGGCATCTCATATTGCTGTCTTATTCATGTCTTGTCAAATGTCATCTTGTGAACTTTCTACACATGCATGCCTGTTAAACTATGCACTGCAAAAGAAAATAATAATAAAAAAATAGCCAAATTGGGGACAATGCGTAGATGTTTGCATCTCACTTAATTGGATTTACTAAAATTTCCAATTTAATTTTAAACTAATTCCAATCTACAGTTTTACGTCATTTTTTATTCAATCAGAAGTTGCTGAGAAAGCAGAGTTACCGCCAAAAGGCAAACATTGTCAAACTGTTGAAGAAAGTGGATAAAACGTGTTACGAGTCGCTGCCCTCATGGTTGTACTGTGTCTTGTGATGTGATAGGGATTCCTTATTATCCGTACAGGGCCGTTATGTTTGATTTGTCATAAAAATGATGATCACATCTTGTGTTTACTATGTGGAGCAATCAGCGTCAAAGCTGTTTTTGTTTCAGCACACATTAGATATGGTTATGTTAAATTGAAGAGATTTAAAAGAAAACTGTGTTTTTAACTAATGAGTTATTTTTTTTTTCAAAACAGCTTATTGCTCCTTTACCTATGACCTTTGAACTGCCCCTGGGGTAAGCAGAGCATGAACCCCTGCCGCAGTCATTTCCATGTGTCATTCTTTCACACCTGCCTGCAATTATAGGGACGTTCCTGTTTCACCCTTCCCCTTCCCCCCTGGACTCCACCGCTCCATATTCCTTTCAAGTCAAAAATGAGGAAAAAATGAAATGGCAGAAAATGTAACAAATCACATTATACATCAAGAATCGGGTTGACTGGGGCATAAAAGCTTTGTTTTTTCCCTTAAAACTGAATTTAATTTGTCCTGGAGTTGCAGCCTTTATTTCGGAACTTACAAAAGTATTAATTCTGTTTGTGTAGAATGGTACGTTCTGACATATATCTACATTTGTCCAGATATCAGAAATCCTTTTATTTGCTGACATAAGGATATTCAACAGATACTGAATATTATATTGCCAATCATACCGCACAATAATGAGCAGATTATAATTATTAGAACTAATCAAGTACTAAGGGCTGGAGGATCTACTCTATGAAACACAAAGGCCTTGTCACAATGCTCTGCTAGTTTTTTTTTAGTTTATAACACTTTCTGAACTTTGGCCAGTATGGCATTTTTACGAATCACAATCCAATAATTTTAAACCGTTTTTCTGCCAGTAATGTCATTAAAGTTAGCAATCATTATTAACGTTGATGTAATTATTATCAGTAAAGTTAAAGGAACACGCCAACATAACCATTAGAGCTTACTGTAGTGGTTATGGTACTATAAGTGCCCTGAAGTCCTCTTAGAGTAAGTAGTCAAACCACTTAAATACAGTTAAACAACATACCTGATGACTGGACCTGCCCATCTACTGCTGGAAATTTCTGCCACCGAGCTAACCCAGGCTGTGCAGGTCGCTCTCATTGAATGAGAGTGATTAGCTGGTGTTTTCAGCCAATGAGCTGGCACTGCATAGCAGACCTAAACTCAGTGAAGTTCATGGAAGCTCCCTGCAGGAGCTCTGGCACAGGAGAGGTCCCAGGTAAATTGTCAGACTACATAATCTGATAAGATGAAAGGGAACTCCTGGCACCACAACCACTACATTGGATAATAGTGGTTATACTTCATGGAGTGTTCCCTTAATCACATGATCTTGAGATCAAGTTAAGATCACAAAATTAATGACAAAATATGGCAAATTTCCACAATAAGTCTTGAGAGATCTCTTCCTGATGTTACATAGCATGGGAAAGTCTTTATAAGGGCTGCTCTGAGTGCAAGCTAACAAATTAGATGGTTCTTCCCGATGTTACATAGCACAGGAAAGCTTTTATAACAGCGGCACTGAGTGCAAGCCAACCAATCAGAGGGCTCTTCCTAATGTCACATAGCATAGGGAAGTCTTTATTAGGGCTGCTCTGTGTTCAAGCCAACCAATCAGAGGGTTCTTCCTGATGTTACATAGCATGGGGAAGTCTTAATAAGGGCTGCTCTGAGCGCAAACAACCAATGAGAGGTCTCTTCCTGATGTTACATAGCATGGGGAAGTCTTTATAAGGGATGCTCTGAGTACACACCAACCAATCAGAGGTCTCTTCCTGATGTTACATAGCATGTGGAAGTCTTTATAAAGGATGCTTTGAGTACACACCAACCAATCAGAGGTCTCTTCCTGATGTTACATAGCAGAAGGAAAGCCTTTATAAGGGTTGCTCTGAGTAGAATAGCAAAAGTAGGATAAACCTGAAAACACAAAATGGAGAACAAAACCTCATAAGGTAATAATGTTTAAATATATAGAATCTCCAGAATTCAAGGTTGCACGCACAGATTTATGAATAATTCAGGCTCATCGAAAGTTTGTAGGTTCTGGCAGATCCAGCAATGTTCAAATGTTGAATGACTCATGTGAAGAGAAAATTAAAAACAACATAGTGCAACACTGATGTAAAGTAAAAAACACACTTTAATGGTTACACTTACAAGAAACAAGTAGATAAAAAGTCCATCAGTATAATCATGTAGTCCCCAGACCTGATCACAACGATATAGGGTGCTGGAGTCCTCCCAGGTACCGTGAGTGTAGAATAAAACAGCATACAAAATAATAAAAACATATAATAACTCTACGCGTTTCATCTAATTATTTTAGACTTCATCAGGAGTAAAAGTGCTATAATGTGCATGAGTATAAAGTGCTATAGCCCATGGGGGAACCCAAACCTCCTTTTAAAAGTCCCTCCTTGTTGTAGCAGACCGCTATCCACCAATCCGTTTCATTACATCTGTTGCCGATAAGTACAGTTGGTATGTCCTTAAAAGGAGTTCCAGCCGGCTTCCCCAAATGCATTCCACCAACCTGGAAGTGATGGATTTTGGGTGGTGATCAATAATGACGTCTGCAATGGGGGTCTGGAACGCAAATGTGTTTCACATGGTCCACCGGTTTCCTCCATAATTATAATCGGTCTCTCTTCACATAAAGTCCATCATTTGGACAGTGCATGCCCATAACAAAACAGAAATGCAATACAAAGGCATTAAATGGTGGCATGTATACAAACATCCCAAAATACTATACTTGTTAGTAATGAGTGCAAAAGTATGAGAATAAGAGGTGAGTTGGAAAAGCTAAGGGGGGTGATGTATGTAGGAGGGAATTGGAGGCACAGATTAATTACAAAGAAATATAAAAAATATATAATTAAAAAGATATATAATGAAATAAATATGTACATATAAATAGTATACATATGCACATATAAAAATAAAACGAAGAATGAAAAAAATAAAAAAATTAAAATAAAAATAAAAATAAATATATATAAAGAATGATGAAATATAAATTTTACAAAAGTATAAAATACATAAAATGATAAAAACTAATTAAATCAAAATCCACATCCAACCCTAATGGCTGAAGTGTTTTCAATCTGTGTATCCAAAATTAGGGATCGACCAATAATGATTTTTTAGAGCCGATACCGATAATTTGTGAACTTTCAGGCCAATAGTCGATAACTTACCGATACCGATATTCTGTACATTTACCATTTAAAAAAAACCAAACTATTTCTACACAAATCTACTGTTAACTGAACTTGTTTATTATGTATTTATTTATTTGCAAATCTTTTTTTTTTATTAAGGTAAATGCACAAAATATACATGCCAGTCAGAATTTTTCATGTTTTCAAGAATATATGTGTGTGTAGTGGATGTAGTGAGAGTATTTGATTAGTGAATGCAGTGTGTGTTTGTGTAATGTGTGTGTAGTGAATGCAGTGTGTTTTTGTAGTGTGTGTATATAATGAATGCAGAGTGTGTGTGTTTGTGTAGTGTGTATAGTGAATGCAGTGTATTTGTGTAGTGTGTTTAGTATGTGTATAATGAATGCAGAGTGTGTGTGTTTGTGTAGTGTGTGTATAGTGAATGTAGTCTGTAGTGTGTGTATAGTGAATGCAGTGTTTGTGTAGTGTGTGTGTTTGTGCAGTGAGTGTTTGTGTAGGTATGTTAAGTTTGTAAAACGGGGGGGTGGGGGACATTTTTATTTTTTTATAAATATTACATTTTTTGAAATTTTATTTTAGTCCTCCCTCCCTGCTTCGTACCTGGCCAGGGAGGGAGGTTATAGCATTCCCTCAAGTCCTTGGTATCGTTGGATGCCTCACCATATATTCTGTTACCCATCCAAAAAGCCCTCCGACTGGTAGTTCTGGGACCGGAAGAGCCCTAGACAAAGTTTTACAAGACCACGGCAACACCATAATCCGGTCAACAGTTCCAGGTGACTTGTGGGTAGCTTCTGGTCAGGCACAACCTTATGAAACACATTGCACCGGGGCGCACGGCGCTGGCTATCTTTTGCCAAACACAGAATGGCTCCTTTAGATCGTGTCATGACAGGACAGGCTCACATGCCAATACAGCAGCATTACATCTAAAGGGCTGGAGAGGGGCAGTGCGGTTGTTAAAAAGCCACTTGATCTGTACTTTAAGTGTCATTTTTCCTTCTTTTTCGGATTACTGAACTGGAAACAACAAACGGTAATGGCAGACAAAGGCGTGCCCAGAGGCCTTTGCTATGAATTTTTGATGAACAGGCGAAGTTGCCCTTGTAGAAGGAGTTGGTGCAATGTCATTATTGTTAGTTTAAGTCATTTCGCACGGTTCACTTGCTTTCTGAGGGCCTGTTTTATTCAGCCTGCCCAGTTTGGCAGCGACGTTCCCTAACAATGAGGCTTTCAGAAGTTCCAAGTCCTGAACGATTCTTGTGTTTCCACAATACCTCGGCCTACAGAGGAAACAACATAAAATAAAATGCTACATAGCCGTTACTGCGTTAACCCTGCGAGTGGCGTGAATTGTTCCCAAGGCTCATTGGATACGAAGACTATTTTATTCAATGCTACAAAAAAAAAGGAAAAAAAAAAACAGGAAAAAAAAACTTAACCATGTAAGCAGTTTGTGAATAGGATGGACTTGTTATTTGACTCTGATTTCAGATAATTCCACTTAAACTCCATCTTCATCTTAATATGGATAATGAATTTTAAAGTGACACTTACAGAACTTTTACTTCCATAAACAACCAATTAAAGTTAGAAGCTGATATCATTAATGGGATTTTTTTTCTATGTCTGTCTATCTCGCTCTCTCTATCTATCTATCTATGTCTGTCTATCTCGCTCTCTCTATCTATGTCTGTCTATCTCGCTCTCTCTATCTATCTATGTCTGTCTATCTCTCTCTATCTATCTATCTATCTATCTATCTATCTGTCTGTCTGTTATCTCTCTCGCTCTCTCTCTTTCTCTCTCTATCTATCTAGTGAGACAGCAGGCATCCTGTAGTTGGTATTTTATCCAGAGCATTAAGTTGTTTGTCCTAGATGAAGTGACGTCGGGCCGCCATCTTAGATTGTGTATCCTGCAGCAGCATATAGTTGATATCTAGGGATCCACCACCAGGCAGAAATGGTTATTCTTTCTCATGGCAATGAGCAGAACACCAGGGTTACCTGTTACCTGTTACCTGTTAAATGTTTTACCGAGTATAAGTGCATTTTGTAGCTCCAGCAGTGTGGTTCTATCTCCTTCACCAGTTGCTCCACACCGCCTTTTGTCTTTATCTTTTTTTTTTGTTCGCAGCGCAGACATTGGTGACTAGCCTTAAGTGAAATTTGGGAGGAGCTTTATAATGGGTCTATTATTAATCTATAGTATGTGGGATATTCAGAAGATTATCCAAAAAACAAGATGTACATCAATGTCACTGCTAATGCGAATTAACTTTATTTCCAAAACAATATAACAAACACATGTATAAAATACATAGAAACAGACAAATAGTCTACCAGACACAAGTCACGAAATCACTGCCAGCGTTTCGGCATATCCAAGTGCCTTTCTTCATGCGTATGCTGAAATGTTGGGGGTGGTTTTCTGACCGTGTCAGGAAGGCTATTTGTGTGAATTATGTACATGGTACTGTTTATTCTCTAGACTTATCGCTTTTTGTTTGTACTTTTTTAAAACTATTATTTATGTGTTATTTATGTGTTTGATACATTGTGGCACCAAAGACGAGGCGAACGCCAGACATTTACTGTGAGATAAGTCTAAGCACCTGTCAACCACGAACGCTGCTTTCACATGGCGATGAGTTCTCGGTTCTAAGTCTGGCCTTCTCTCTGGGGCCCAAACTCCATCTGTTATATAATCACACCGCTACCAGCTCATGAGGCTGAAGAGGCTGCTCTGAGACGATGACAAGGCGAGAATGATGTTATATATGGCGTGTGAGTAGGGTTTTTATGGTTCAATGCCTGCTAGCTGATCCAGAGGGAAGAAATTGTTAAACACAGTAAAGTACTGCTTACTTGTACTGTGTAAACACAGCCTGCCACAGTTTACATTGCTGTCAGCTTTAAACTGAATGTTCACAGGAGCCCGGGATTCTGGCCGCATGGACTCATTTAGCGTGCTGCAATAATCACAGCCTGTTTCATTTACGCAGACTACCTGTTTCTGGATCAGTGCTTGCTTGTGGCTTTCACCTAAACTGCAGGATATTTAAGTAATATTTGTTTTTTCCGACATGGAATTACATATGGGAGTAAATCAAAGCTAACCGTTTCTCACAGAGTTCTCGTGCTATGGTCATGGGGCCGTGCCCAGCAGCTTTTGGTCCTCCTGATATCCAAGCCAAATTGATGCTGCTTCAGGGCCTGCTCTGCGAGATCAAGACAGGGTTAAATAGTGCGAACAGAGTCTGAGCGGTCATGTACTACACCGGATGGCTTTACCCTATTTGATGCACGATTTCACAGAGTTATTAGTGA